AAGAAAGGAGAGGTTTATTTTGGCTCTTGATTTCAGTCCATGGTCGCCTGGCCCCAAGGCGGACGGGCATGGCATACAGCCTGGCGGAGGAGAGCTGCTCACAGCGTGGCGGACAGGAAGTAGACGGGAATCAGGTGACTCAGCTACAGGGCTAGAGGATGGTCCTGGCAGAAGCACTGGCAAGAGCTTTCCAGAAGCTTCCAACAGACTTCAGACAGGTAGTTCCCAGATCCAGACCTTCCGGACCTTCCTCCCAGTCTGGTCTCCAGATCCTCCCTGTGCAGCAGCAGCCAGGCCAAAGGACCATCCCAGGGGCCCAGCACACCCGGCTGCGGGGGCAGCAAGCCGGCAGGACTGGTGGTGTCACTTGGGCTGCCAGAGCTGTGTCATGATCATCCCCAGCCCCTTCCCCAAAGGCCCTGTGCTCCTCCAAGTTGACAGGGCCGAGGCCCCCTTGGGGGGACGGTGAGCAGTGACCCCTGGTCCTTCTGCCCCTCACCCACTGCCTCAGTGCTGCTGGCTGCCCAGTACCGGAGCCAGGCCCGGAGCTCAGCCCCTACAACACGCCCCAGCCCTCGCCGCCAGCTCCTCCTCCTTCTCTGGTCTGCAGCTGGTCTCTGAGGGCTGACCTTGGGCAGCCACAGAGGGACACACAGCGTAGAAGCGTCTGGCCTCAGAGGCAGCAGGCTGTGACCAGGGGAGGGCAGGTGTGGGGACAGCGGGGAAGGGGGAGGCCAGGGCTTACATTGGCCCACGTGGGCTGGCAGTGCTGGGCCAGCCCCACAGCCCTCTGGGTGACGGAAGTACTTTCCCTTGGAGGCACTCTGTGACCTGGAGGTTGGAGCCCCTTCCCTGGGAGCCTCCCAGCCGCCAGCCACAAACCAGAGGGTGCACCTGGCTCAGCAGAGCTCCAGGCACTCAGGGCTCATGGGCGCCCACTCCCAGCCTCCCTGTACCCCAGCCGGGGCACTGGACACCTGCTGCCCCCAGCCCCTGGTCTCATTAGCTCCTGCCGTGTGGATTAACTGTGAAGTCCTGGGCAGCCTGCAGAGTCTGCATTTATTTCTGCGGGTTTTCTGGCCTCTCTGTGCTCAGGTTTCTGTGTTGCTCTGGTACCAGGCCACTGTCCACCCACCTGCCCTGTCCTGGACGGGAGTGGGGAAGGGGCCCGGAAGTCTGCAGGGTCTGCTGGGGCCACCTGCCAGGGACATCTGTCCCCACTCACCTGAGGCCACTCGCATGGAGAGCTCTCCTCCTGCCTGGCCCCCCGGCCAACCTGGCCCCCTCCACCCTGAGCTCTAGCTTTCTCCTCTTGGGAAACATTCGAAAGCTAACACATATGTAGCCAGCATTGCCTGGGTTTTTGTCTTGTCGTTTGAGTGTTGGAGACAGGCTCTTGCCATGTATTTCAGGCTGGCCTTGAACTCATGGTGATCCTCCTGTCTCAGCCTTCCGAGTGCTGGGATGACAGGTGTGTGCCTCCCTGCCCAGTGTGCCTGTTTTGGAGCTGCAGCGGACAGCACGTCACCGTGTGTCTTCAAGGACTGGCTCCACTTGGCTGCGTGTCACACGCAGCCCCAGTGTAGTTGTGCACAGCTGTGCTCACCCATGTTTGAAGCCACAGTGGATTTCTGTGTGTGACTGCCTGAGAGTCCACCTCCCCCTTGGGGACACGCACAGAGCTGTGTCTGGTCTGGTGTTGTCCAGAGGAGAGCTGCTGGGGCGTCTGAGCACACACCCGCTTGTCCTTGGGGTCGGGGGAGGGTGGCTGCTCTACAGAGGGCGCCTTTGGGCTGAAACCTCCGGACAGCGTGAGACAGTTCTCTGGGGTCTAACCCACTGTGCCCCAGGAGTGCAGGGCCAGGCACCTCTCCCCCAGTCAGGAGGCGGACCCAGTTCCTGAGGTCTGGCGGGCATGCTAAGGTCTGTGCATCCCTGTGTGCTTCTGAGGGGCCTGGCCATCTCTGCCATGTTTGGTGGCCAAATCACCCATGCCTGCTTGTGACATGCGCCCATTTCTCAATGGAGCCGCTGGTGGTTGTTTCCTTGCCAATTTGTGGGATCCTGATTTTTCATGTAATTGTACTGCGTTAAGCATTGCAAATATCCCTCTCCGGTTGGTATCTTTGTCTTTCAAATTTCTTTGAGGTGGTTTTGATAAATGTATGTTTGTCATTGTTGTGTTTGCGCCAGGGTCTTGCTACATAGCCCAGGCTGGCCTTGAACTCGCACAATCCTCCTGCCTCAGCCAGTCCAGCACCACAAAGCAATGCTGGCCACACCGGCCAGACAACGTGTGGCCACGCTGACACAGCCTGGCTGGCTCCACGAGGTGGGAGCTACCCCGAGGCAGGAAGGGTCAGCTCTGTCCTCAGGTCCACGGCGCAGGAGTGCAGCCCTGGGGAGCAACTGTGACACAGACAGTGGACACCTGTGGACACCCTGGGCAGAGCCTGTGTCAGCCCACGGTGTGGCGGACAAGACATGCAGCTGCTTTGGCCCTGCCATGGCTCCCCCTGCTGCATCTGCAGACAGAGAGGGTACCTCAGAGACCCAGAACAACCAGAGGGATAACACGCTGAGCGTGGGCAGGGTCTTTCTGAAGATGCGTTGCCAACCAGAGGCCATGGCCCATCCCGTCCTGGCCAGACAGACCTGGAGCGCAGTCCCAACCCGCCAGGGCTGCGGCACGGTTTGCGGCAGCTCCTCCTCACCTGAGGCCTGGGAGACAAGCAAGGCCCTGGCAGTGCCGGAACTCTTGGTGCCAGGGAAAAGCTCGGCAGGTCCTGCCTGCTCGTGGCACAAATTTGGGGAGGTCAGGAAGCCACGTCCTCTTGTCGGTCCTGGTGGGAGGTGAGGGCGCGAGCGTCACCCACACAGAGCCCAGGGTGGACCCCTGTTCTCCACCCTAAGCCTACCAGGTGGGAGTGCCAACCTCCTGGCAGAAGGCCCACATACTACACAGGTGGGTGCTGCAAGGGCTCCCGCCCTGGACTCACGCACACACACACCCGCACGCAGGTTCATGAGAGGACTCCTAAGCCCGCTATGCCAAATTCAAGGGACAGGGGCTCAGGTGGCCTGTGCTCGGGGGCTGGGAGATGGCTGTGGCCTGCAGACTGCCAGGGCTCTGCTGTCCTCACTGAGATCTACGTGACCTCCCAGGCAACAGCGGACCCGAAACCAAGGTGTCTGAATCAAGGAGACTGTCCCCCTCCAAGGGAGGCCTCGGACTCCACCTGCAGCACCAAGGCAGGGGGTGCAGTCTGGGGGCCGGAGTCCAACAGCAGGTGCCTGCAACATGGGGCATCTTGCCCTAGAACCCCTGGGCTGCCCTTGAGAGCCGTTCCGCAGTGGCCCGGGAGCTGGCAGCTCCTTAACCATGGGGCACATTGGTGGGTGACTCACCCGGGGTGCAGAGGCAACACCACCCTTTTGCTGCCGAGGGTCTTGCTATGTAGCCTAGGCTGGCCTTGAACTCGAGCGATCCTCCTGCCTCAGCAAGTCAGGCCCACAGAGCCAGGCTGGTGGCTCCGGCCAGACAACGTGTGGCCACGCTGACACAGCTGGGCTGGCCCTGCAAGGTGGGAGCTACCCCGAGGTAGGAAGGGTCAGCTCTGTCCTCAGGTCCATGGTGCAGGAGCGCAGCCTTGGGGAGCAACTGTGACACAGACAGCCTGGGCGACAGAGTGAGACCCTGGCTCAAAAGGGTCTCACGACAGGGGTCCCAGCATGGAATTCTGGTTGTGCCCGGCACAAGGCTCCAAGGACCTCTCGTGGGAGGGTGTGACCCACAGGCAGCCAGCGTGTGACACTGGTGCACCCTCCCAGAGCCTCCTCCGGGCCTCCTGCCCCATCCCAGTCGGTCCTGTGATCCAGCGGGGCCTTTGTTTCACAGGTCCCCCCATGTGCGCCCGTTCCCAGTGGCACCAGCCCCGGGCCAGTCGCGGCCACCTCTGACAGCAGCCCTGCCCTGGGGGCTGACAACCACGCAGGCAGAGGGGTGGGCGGGAGGACGCGGAGTCATTGCTGTGGTGACCACTCCTCCTGACTCACTTCCTTTGTCCCGGCCTCTCCAAGAGGATGACAGGCGCAGTGATTAACGCTCCGGCCCACTGCGGGGCCAGCTCACAGGCACTCGAAATGTTCCAATTGGCTTCCCAGTCTGTCTCCAGAGACGTCTGGCCCCGGCGCCGCCTGTGGGAAGCTCGTGGGAGCCCGGAGGAAGATAGGCAGGCCTCTTCCCAGGCTTCTCCCAGCCTGGCCCACCCTGTGAGCTATGCCCTGCCTGCTCCGCTGCACACTGTGAGCAGAGCCAAACCTGTGGGCACTCAGGTCCCCGGGCCAGGGCCCTGTGCAAACCCCCAGGCCAGCGTTCCTCCGCATCTGCCTGCAGCGCCGGGTCCCGCCCGTCGGTCGGTGACTGCTGTGCTAATGGGTGCTCAGGAGCCGCCAGGGAGCCTGGGCTCAGCTGGGTTTGATCAGGAGGTGGTGGCTGCAGCAGCTCGAGGAGGAGGAAGGCGTGAGAGCCCCAGGGCCGCCGTTGGTGAGCACGCGCGGGGAAGCACTCTCCTCCCCACGCGGGAACAGGAGGCGAGGGGCCCGGAAGCTCCTCTCAGGAGCGCTCCCCGTCGGGCTGTACTTTTCAGCCCTGCTCTGTCCCTGGGCACAAGAGCTTGTCACCTGCCTGCCTCCTCAGCTGGCCAGTGCTCACTGCTGGGCCCAGATCAGCCGCAAAATCAGCCTCCAGGCTTCCCTGTGTTCCTCCGCACACCCAGCCCCAGGCTGGGGCAGAAGACGGGTTCAGAATGGGGTGTCTGAGGGATGCTTTACCAGCACCCCCTCTTCTTCTACTGGGAATGAAATCTAGAGCCTTTGCACTGGGCCACATCCCCAACCTTCCATCCATCCATCCATCCATCCATCCATCCATTCATTGAGACAGGGTCTTATTAAGTCAGTACTTGCCCAAACTGGGCTCAAACTTGCAATCCTCCTGCCTCAGCCTCTCAATGTGCTGTCATGGTGTGTGCTGCCATGCTTGACTTCAACTTTTTGAAAAGACCCACAGGTAGGTGCAAAATGCAAGGCAGAGGAGCTGTGGGGCCCTGGAGAGTTTCCCAGCAGCCAGAGGAGCCAGGGCATGTGGGGTCAGTCTGAGGGACTCTGATGGCCGGCCAGCAGCACAGCTTGCCTGGGATCCACCCAGAGGTGTCCGTGTTACAGCCCCACACAGGCTCAGGCAGGAGAGTCACAGGGAGCTGACAGGTGGGGTCCTTGGTGGTCACGGAGCCCCCCACCAGGTGCACCTCACCTTCCTATCTGTCCCCCCAGTGTCCTGTCTGGGGTGCTGTACTCGGCTAGAACTGTCACCCGCATGACAGTGGTCAGAAGCCAGCAGGAGTCCAGGACAAGGGCAGCAGGCTGTGTGCTGGGTCAGGTGACACGGCAGTCACTGGGAGGAAATGTGGTGTGGACTGATCAGTATTTTCAGAGCATCCAGTTGACCTTGGGTAGCGGATGACGGTGTGGGAAGGGGAGGGTTTGGTAAGATAGGAGGATTGAAGAAGGGAACCAAATGGCTTTGGCCATGGTGGTGGCCACACTTACGAGCGTATATGGCCAGGAGGCAGCTGGTGGGGCGGTTAACGCAGGCAATCCCTCGCTTTGAGTAGAGGGGTGATTGTTGAACATCCTACGCAAACAGGATGGTGTGAGTAGCACTGAGGCCGCCCGGGCCTGGGCGCATGATCTGGCCACATCCCCAGCCCACCTGCCTGCTGCCGCGTCAGACCCACACCGCCAGCATCGTACTGAGCAGCCAACGGCTTGCTGTGTGCAATGGCGCTGTCAGCAAGCAGTGCCTTGTGAGCGTCCAAGCTCGAGGGGGAGGAAGTATTTCACCCTGGGCACAGCTCGGGGGCCCTGGAGGCAGGACCGGCCGGGCAGGGCCGGAAGAGACACCTGAGGGAGGAGGAGGTGTGGGAGGGGCACTGCTGGGGGACAGCAGGACTGGGAGGCTGCCCAACGTCCCCTGATGGAGACCACTACAAAGTGGCTCTGGGCAGGATTTAAAATTAACCAACTGGCTTTCCATGTTTACTTGTGAGTCTGACTAAGGCCACAGCTGAGGACGCTTGGCTTCAACCCCAGTTAACTAAAAGGAGATGCAGCTGCAGGATCCACACTCCTACAATAAATGCCAGCCTAAAGATAAGGTAGTTCTCCTGACTGATGTAATTTACTACTTCAGAAAATATCTCCCAAGGTCCTGCTAGGTTCTGCACAGATTCCCGAGTTTTCTTCAGTATTCCCCTCCTCTGTTTGAAAATCAAGTAAATATGGGCCACGCAGAGAAATTCTTTGTCTCAGCCCCAGAGAATCTTGAATTCTGTGAGAGGGTTTCGAACCTCTTGGAGCCCTACAATCACACTGTTGTCTCATTTATTTAAGCCTTTGCTATTCACTCGTTTGGGAGATTACGGGCCTCATCAGTCCACCATAACTAAGGGATATTACTAACCTGTTAGTCTCCTGAGACGGAGCAGCTACCCCCGGCCACAGTCCAGGGCCTAGGGCAGCACCAGGCCTGAGTGTCCAGCAACTGGCAGGAAGTCGGTGGCTTTCAGAAGGGGTGACTATAGCCGGGCATGGTGGCAGACACCTGTAATCCCAGCACTCGGGAGGCTGAGGCAGGAGGATTGTTGTGAGTTTGAGACCAGCCTGGGCTACAAAGTGAGCTCAA